CATTTGTGAGTAGCTAATATCCGCCGAAGGGATGTTCGACTAATGCCACTCTCCAGTGACATGCGGCGAGTGCTACGCTGTGGGCGAGTGCTACGCTGTGGGCGAGTGCTGAATGAAGCTAGGACAGTGTCAATAGAAAATTGTACTTAGTAGTCAATATAATCTTTTAATAATATAAGTCTGCAAATGATAGAATACTGCATGATAACCTCTTTATGACTTAGACTGTTGTTTTAATTCACTGTGACCTGTTATCATGCAGGGAAGGAGCAGTTCCTGCTAGTGATAGATAAGAGCTGAACAAGCAGTTTCACTTCGTACCAGGAAGAGGAGCCTCTCCTGGCACACGCGCACACGCACACACATACACACGCACACATATACACATCCACATTCCAATGTAATGAATGAACGGACCTACTGTTGTATATAAATATAGACCAGGGCAGTGGCAGAGTGCGAGTCCTTGAGCCACACTCGGGTGCAAGCGCTCTGTGACTGCCCTTGCAAGTAAAAAATTGCAGCGTGTGTGTTTCTACTCTCTGACTCTCAGCTGAAGAAGTGTCTTTAGAATACATATCTTGACAGAAAGCCACTGATGTTTCTTCATTAGTGACAGTTTTCTTGCGTCCACATTTTGGCAAATCCAACACTGAACCAGTTTCACGAAACTTAGCAAGCAGTTTGCTAACTGTAGCATGGGAGATGGGTGGTCTCGTAGGGTGTCTTGCATTGAAATCTGCTGCAATGACCCGGTTACTGCATTCACCAGATATCAACACAATTTCGATCCGCTCCTCACGTGTTAACCTCTTTGACATGTCAATGGCTGTGAACAAAGGGAAACTTGTAAATAACTCATGAAAGAATAAAGTTACATTGAAACCAAGCACACCATTGTTTTTCTTGTAACATTACCAATAAGTTTGATGTGTCACATGGCCCTCTTCCTATTGAAAAAAACAAAAGTTGTATCCAAGATGGCCGACTTCTAAATGGCCACCGTTATCTCATGAACAACATAAGCTAATTGTTATTTACTGACTAATCTTAAAATGACTGTTCAGTACAGAAATGAAGCCCAACATTCATGTTTTTACAGTCCCGTGGTCTCAGCCTCAGATACTTATCAAATCAAAGTGATCTCATAAAAAAAAAATGAACGAAGAAAAAAAACATTTTTTCTCCTTCATTTCTGTCAAACAATGCTGTATGAAACATTTCTCGCAGTTAGTATCATGGTTGGTAGGCAACCTGAGCAGCGCGACAGAGGCCAGACCGTCCCATTTCACAAGCCTCTAACTTCCGCTGGCCTCTCACTTCATAGTACCCGCCCTACATATTCTGCGAAGTGCGCGTACTATGAAGCGTGCGGTCGCTGGATTGGGACACAGCTAGAGACTGTATCCCAATTCAGGGTCTGCAGCCTAAAAGTACGCAGCCTTAATGGTCCACAAGGGCCGTGTACTCAAAGACTGCTAAGACCGGAAGTGCAAGCCTTGTAGGCATGTGAAATGGGACAGTCCAGCCTTCAAATTTGCGGCACCAGCTGTACACGCTCTTACCACTTCTCCCGATCAGAGTAATGGATGCGGAAAACATACTCACTACGCTCGTCTTTCTGCTACTTGAAGAGCTACAACAAAATCACTAGTCATGGTTTTGAGAATTGACGTGCAGGGTACTCTAATTCAGTGGGGGGGGTGCTTACTGGGCTTAAGCCCGGGGTCTTTTGGAGTGTAATTTTTTCATAGTTAGATGCCTGGCTGACAACTGTATAAAGCAAAAAACTACACACAGTATTCGAAGCACATAGTGCACACTGTGGGAATTTACGACTGTGCGTAAATCCCCCCTAATATTGGTATGATCCAAGCTCAGGCACTAAGCGGGGCGGGGGGAGCTGCTGCCTGCGAGTGCGCTGTTGGAGAAACGGAGCCAGGCAGACAGAGGAGAACTGAAGTTTGACCAGGTACCAAAGCAAATCATTCGTACTGTACAAATAATGTAAATATGACGGTGTATCAC